TGCTCAGCATTTTTATTCTCTCAGAGCTTGTTTTTCTAACTGATCCATTGTAACGTATGATTCCTCATTGTCATCAACCTTTATTTATTCAGGGAAGAAACCCACTTAGAGCAAGCTCTCATTCCCACTGGTGCCCTGACATCAACAATTCTAACAATAATATATGTGTATACTGTATGAAGGCCATGATATGCTAACCCCTGGACATAGGAATAAAGCTTAACCTCTCACACTAAGGTGGCATATTTGAAACCTATTAAAGCTCCAAACACTGCTTGAGGTTGTATGACGGAGATATTCACTCAGTAATTGACTACCATGAACCTGCGAACAGAGTTCCCTGCAGACCTCCCTCTTTAATGTTATTAATTCAGGATAAGACCCCAAACCTCCCAAATAACAACCTGCAGTTTATTGTGGCAGCTACCTCCTTAACCCTCAGATGTCACTGTACTGAGAAATTTTTATAAGCCAGTACACTCTGGCTCTTTGAGGAAGTGTTAAATTTAGTCTGAAATAACCAATGAAAGCTGTGTCACTGGACACTTAAGACCATATTTGTTTAAAGTGCTGCTTGTTTTGTGCCCGTGGGGTATCCACAGCCAGGCAGCTTGTTAACACCGCTGGGTTACCACTGCCTGTTTTAACTCTCTGAGACACCGTTGAGAAGTTTGGCATACTATTAATGCTGTTGATTGTTAAATTATATGATTAAACTGTTCACTTTCGGCTGTGTTCCTTCAGTCCCTCGGTCTTCTGGATGTCAGGAAATCAACCGGACAGGGCCTCCGACTGTGGAAGGACTCCCTCGTTCCTCTTTCTGCCAGGGTCTCTAAAGGGTTCTGGTCGGCAGACTCAGTCCCTTCATCCAACCAGATGCCACAATTTGCACTTAATACCTTTTTTGGCCTGCACAGTCGTTCCTCAGAACTCATTTGCATATTGCGTTCAGGATTCTTGTAACTGTTCATGACTGCTTTTGACCGGTTAGATCCAGCCTCAGATTCTACTTACCCTTTATTAAAAAACTTATCTTCATACTTAACACAAGACAGAAAACCCACTTCTGCTTGAAATACAAAAGTTCCCATTATCGCTTTCAGCTGAACAATCAGTTACACACAGATTTTCCACATAACCATCAGTGCTTTAAAATCTAAACTTGAATCTTTATAATTTGATTACTATACTTGACTAAACATTGATTATTGATTAGAGATTGATTAAAACAGTATTTATTCTGACTGCAAAGAGACAGTTTGCCCTTGTTGTAAGCTTTCTGATGCCAGATGATCAGAGGCCAGCTCTGCTGTTATGGTCTGTTTCCTGTGCTCCTTAGCTCTCTCCAGGACCCGTTTTTACAGGGTTGCCGACAATACACATAAACCAGCATAAATAAAATATTAAAAACAGTATCACAAATAATCTGGAACACACACTTAAACTGCGGAGTACAATATCAAAGCAGATTAAAATGGGATAATGGGACGAGCCTAGTCAGTTTAGTCTTTTTCTGCAAACTGTTGCATCTTTACAAGGCACAGGAAGAGTCGTAAAGTCCTAAAGGTAGTTTAAGATCAAGAAGATGTTGAACAATGTTGAACTCAGACTGCAAACACCTGATCACTTAGATCAGTTCCCAGGGTCACTGAGGTCATTAAATCCAAATGTGACAGTATGCACAGTATTTTCATGGCCGCCCTGTGGGAATCTTTCCTGCCACACATCAAACATGGTTGATTTGGACCATGAAAAACTTACGCCCAGTACAAGTGACAGTTCAGCAGCAGCAGCAGTAGTTAAACGTATCAGTGGTCATTTGGAAACTTTATTTGAAATGAAATTGTTTCAGTTGCACCTGATGATCCATGCGGATTCACCAGATTCATTAAATAGACACAGTCACGGTTTTCGTGCTGTTTCTCGGGTGTGACCCCACTGCCGTGCGCTCCTGCTGCGGCCCTGCATGAGGATTTTCCCATCCATAGCTGAGGGAGGTGTGCGCCATTGTGCAGCCTCCAATGATGATTGTAATGATGGCTTGTCCATCTTTGATAAGAAACAGCACGCCCCTCATTAAAGGCCCCGGGGCCCCGGTTCTCATGGCTGCCGGTGCTTCCCCGGAGTCGGGTAGCAGGCGAGGGGAGGTGAGACGACACCCGTGGCACACGCCTGTTGACAGAGCCACAAAGCAAAAGCGTGTGACAATCGCCCCACCCCCATCACTCCCATTGTCCTCCCCCGTGGGTCCCACAGACGAGCCTGATCCTGAGAGCCACCTCACTCACCCACCCCTCCCCTCCTTGCAACCACAAAAACCACAACGACTACCCGTATGGCTGGCCGACACACACACAGGCCCCTTCTTCCCTTCCTTCTCTTCTTCACAATCAGTTTGATCAATCAGCTGATCTCCCTCTTTCTCACACACAGGGCTGCCCTCCTCACCTTCTCCTCCTACCCTCACCCCACCTCATACATCGCCTACCCCTTCACACTCAGCTGCTATGGAAGGTGGACATCCATCGTGTGTAAAAAAAGGTACTCGTGCGTGGTGCGTGCACACACACACTTGTTGGGGGGGTTATTGCTCCAGGAGGTTTGGGAGGGTACTAATTCACTGATTCACATGCAGACAGTATTTCTTGTTGGTGCTGGAGGAGGGTGTGGCAGGTGGGTGGGGTACTGGTCTTAGGGATGCTGGATGGTGCTGGTGATGGTTGTGGGGTGAGGGAGGAGGTGGGGGTGCACAGGGTGATGGGGAGGGAGGGTTGCTGCGGCTGGCGGGGGCAGGCCTGTGGGTGCTGGGGAAGGTATCTGCACATGTTGCGGCCTTCTGGTGGCTGCGTGAATGCGCACGGTGACAGATGGCCTCGGCCCATAACTATAGAGTCCGAGCACCCCGGTCCCCCGGGGGAGAGATAGAGGAAGAGAGAGAGAGAGAGAGAGAGCGGGTGTAGGGGAGGAGGAGGATGTAGCGCTCAGCTGATCCCATCAAAAAGAGAAGGGGGAAGGCAGAGCGGGGGAAGATGACAGTGTGTGTTTATGTGTTTATGTGTCTGTGTGGGCGTGGGTGGGGGAGTGGTGGGGGGGGTGGTTGGGGGTCTGTAATCCC